GTTGATCAATGATTGGTCAATCCTCTACATGGAAGGAATCTTAAGGCCAGACCTCGATGAGAGAAAAGAGACAATTTTGCATTCCGAATACTTCCTGTACATGTTGACTGTAAATTTTGAAGATCTGAACAGAAGTCCTAGGTGGCAAGCAATCATACAAATAAGTACAAATAAAGTTTCCATCAGTTGAGAAAAAACAGAATGTATGGCAGAGCAGACAGGGTGTGAGAAGAAGGAAAGTTTTTGATGTCACCTCTCAGATTTGAAATATCCAAGTTCAGATGGACTTAGAGGGGGTAGCTGAAGACAAATGTGGCCCTGGGTTAGTACAAGCTGCAAGAACAAGGAAGACATGACCATGTAAGTTCATAGGCAAGAAGAGAGTAGGGTGTCTGTAACGGCCTCAAGTCTCCTGCAGCTCCCATAAGCCCTGGATGATAACTGCCAGTTCCTAACCTGTGCGAATGCTACCTGTCCAGAGTGCTAAAGCTTCTTTTTTTTTCATTATCTCCTGGAAAGCAACTGTGCTTATTTTAGTCAATTTCCCTGTCCTGCCAGGACTCTTTTAAGGAGTCTAATTTCAACAGTCCTGCTGGAGCGGACACCAGGTCACATTTCTATGACCATGGACTTAAGAAAATTGGACAGGAGTGCATATGTAACCCCACCTGTGCAATCAGATGCTTTCTCTGGGGTATCTGTAGACCTCAGAGACTCCAGGCTGGTTCTTCTAGGCACTTAGTAGATAAAACCTAGAGATGTGTTAGGGAGTTGATAGGTAACTCCAAAGTAAGTCAGGGTAACTGGTATTTGCTTTAGTCTTAAAGTTTGACATCTATGCTCTTATGGAGGCTGAGGTGAATAAATAAGGACTCTACTCAGGCCAGGGGTCCTGGTACCATAACTCTTGCTTAGTTATGCTGTGGACTATATACTCCTGAATGGAAATGGGACAGCAAGTTCAGCAGCAGAAATCCTGGAAAATAACTGTATTAGCATTCAATACACAGATTTACAAAAGCTGAGTTAGGAGAAAGAAGACTTACTCACAATTAAACAACTTGGTGTAGAGATTCTGGGATTAAAATCTTGCACTTTGATCAATCAGGATAAGGTTATCGATCCTTAGTATACACTCTAATTGAATTCCCCTTGTTCTGTTTAGACAAGTGAGATTTGATTCAACCAAATGAAGTCTGTATCTAGTCTTTGCTCCAAACCAAGTTTGCTACTTGTTAACACAAAAGCTTATGTGGACACTCTTCAAAGGGAAGTGGAGGAATCCTGAAATTATATTCCATTTTTCTCCCCGGGTTCATGATGTAGGTCAAATGGACATTCAGGAAGCGAGGAAAGAAACCACTGTATGGCCAGGCCAACACCATCATTTTCTGGAAACTGGGGGTGGTGGGAAACTGGTAAGGGAGTCTGTGGAGCTCTGTCATCTCCTAAGGGCCCACAGCAGGCATCCTCTTATTCCCAATCCCAGCAGCGTGATCTGGGTGAGATCGCACAGCTTTGCAAGCCTTTGACACGATGGAGAGTAAAGGGAGCTGTATTGGCTGACCTTTGAGTGTGCAGTGAAGCCATCCAGCATCCCTGAGAGAAAAATGGATTTCTGAACTCATTGGCTTTGAAGACTCCATCTGCCACCTGCCCTGGCAAGGTCAGGGTTTACTGGACGCAACCCCAAGCAGGCTGCCGGATCTCTGCAGGGCTCAAGGTTTAGTTCTCACCTGGTCCCTCAATCCCCAGCAGTGAAACACTTCTGCCAAGCCAGATTCCCTTCACACTGAAACCCAGCTCCGTCATACTCATTCTTTCCCCATGTTTCTCTCTCTCTCTCTCAGACACACACATACACACACCATGCACCCAGGAGTTAATTGCTGTTTTTGCTTTCAAGCAGAAATTTGAAAGATTCGTAGAGAATATGAGAGCAGCTTATCTTTATGGCCAGAGAGAGAATGTACATGCATGCATCCAGGCATCCATGTACAGCAGAGCCTGGAATGACCCCTCCCCTGAATGTGATTCCCCAAATCTGAAACAATGGCTTACTAGGGCGTGAAGGTGTAGCCTTCCTGGCCTTCCTCCTACATTCCATGACAAATGTTATGGATGCTATTTCTTTATGGGACACACTTCAGACATGAGACGTGGATAACAGCAACTGCCACTGATACCTTTACTGAGCATTTATGTCAGTAACTCAGCACATGGGCTGAATCCCACACAGACTACGTTGTTCAATCTTCACAATCACTATTGGGACATAGGTCTGTTATGACCTCTTGAATAATGGAAAACTAAAGGGAAAAAAACAAAGCAGCAGAGTAGAAGCACAGCAGTTTGAACCTAGGTCCCTCCAACTCCAGTGTGAATGCTTCCAACTACACTGCCCACTACCGCCCCCATCCTTATAGCACCAGGACCACATGGCTAACCTCTCCAATCCTGTAATTCATCTTTTCTGGTACTACTGCCCCTACGGGCCAGGTACAGGTTTTAAAAGGACAAGCATCACTTTCACTCTGGGGGTGACTCTAAAGCACTGGACATGTGCTTCAAAGAGATGTAAAGTAACAGGGAAGCCATGACGTTCCTTAGTTTGCCCTTCACACAGAGGTGCAGGAGTTTCACTTCTTAGTTCAGTTGCCTCAGTTGAGAAATGATCATTATGTTAAGTGAAGTCATTTTACCTGTTGGGCAAACGGCTCCCAAGTTTCAGTGGTGTAACCCTAAAGACACTTCTCACTGAACTGTTGATCACAGCTTTGTAAAAAGTTGAGATCTCAGAATTTAAGGAGTAGCTCCTTGGTGACCATAGTCACATAGTACTTTATCTTCACCAGAGAAAGAAAAATCCAAGACCTGCTTTCTACACTTTCCTTTTGGCTTTTAAATTGACACATACTAATTATACATATTAATATAGACAATATCATATTGCAATATATATACACAAGGTTTCTGTACTCTGTTATGTGCAACAGTTGCACATATGGCTTCAGAAGGGAGAAGGGTCATTCCTTTGTCTAGGTTACTGGGAAGGAGCGGCTTGTGTATGAGCAAGGATTCATCTCTCAGTCCAATACTACCTATTTCATTCTTAAACCTCTGTCCCATTTTCTGCTTCCTGAGAAGCACAGAGCTCTGACACCCTTTGACACTGTGGGTTAAAAATAAGAATTAAATTTACATGGGTGCAAAAAGTCGATTGCAACTGTTCTTACTGCCATTGCTAGTGGCAGGCACAGAAAGTTTAATGAGCATCAGCCCCCCAGCTATTTCTCAGTATCTCATGGGTACAATGAGCCTCCCTGAGGGATTAATTTTGAGTCCAGGAAAGAGTCTTAGTTCTACAGCCAGGAGCGGAGATCACCTTAGGGACCTGAAAACTAGGAGATCCTGGGCTCTCCTTAAATGTACTCAGAGGCTGTAATGTTTAGCATCTTCCTCCTGCACTATCTCCAACAAAGGAGATGTCCCTCTTATCCCTCAGGCTTCTGCCCCTGTATTTACGACAATCAGAGAGATGTGACACTTGATGCCAGCAGAACCCTGACACTGGGCAAGGTATTCTGGCCTTGGCCTTTCAGGATGTAGCTATCAGGGAACAGAGCTCCATTCCCTGGGTAAAGAAGAATGTTTTCTGCCAGGAACCAACAGACCTGCATTCAGTAAGTGCTGGCCCTTACCTGACATGCCGACTCAGTCCTCTGTGCTCATTGTGGCCAGGAGGCAGCAAGGCTTTCTCCTCCCCTCCCCACCCTCCAACCCAGATAAGCCTTTCTAAGTGCAGCATTTTCTTGGTCAGGCTCTTTGAGCTCTCTGTCTGGATGACAGTGTTTACGGCTGTGCACTTAGTGACTGGTGTCTATGTCAACTTATGTTTCATGTCCTATGCTGTACAAGAAAGCAGGGATGCATTCATATTTATTTAAAATTTTGTACCTATTATGACATTCAACACTCAGAAATGTTTCCTAGTGAGAGTAAATTATTCTTCAGAGAATGTGTTAGAAAACAAGAGAGTAAGCTAATGAACAAAGATGAGTGGGGAAAGAATAAATAATTAAGGGATGGCAAGCGAGAAAACGAATAATAGGGTAAATGACCAGTTGTCTCCATGTATCCATTTTCCTTTCTTGCAAACAGAACCTTCTGGCTATTTTTTTTTCTTTTAAAGTTTGGCACATGGTAATCCAACAAAATAATACATTTCTCCTCCTTTCCTGAAACTAGAAATATCCATGTGATTAAATTCTGTAAGTAAACTTAAGTAGCAGTGTTGCCAGAGACTTCTAAAATAATCTTTAAAAAGAAGATGTGTGTTTTTTTGATTCTTGATATTTTCTACCTTTTTCATGGCCTGAAAGATATGTGATGGTTGGAGCTTAGCAGCCATATTGCACATGAGGTGATTCAAAGGGGAAATACACAGTAGCACACAGTGAAGCAGAAAGATAGAAATTTAGGTTTCTGTTGATCACATAGCCACTGTACTACCCTACATTGTCTTTGGGGGATCTTTTGTAAATGAGTGCAAAATACACTTTAATTTCATGTGATGCTACTTTGGGTTTGTTATTTATATTATATGTAGTTAAACCTGACTGCTATCACACCCCACAGCCAGCCTTAGGTTGTCTCCAAAGCAGATTCATGTCATTCTATGATGGCCCAAAACTCTACTCCCCTGATGCTGCAAATACACTCCAAATGTCAACTCAAAACCATAACATGCACTAAGAGAATATTGATCATTTATGAAGACAGTCAGAGTGAGGGACAGTCCTTGATCAACACTCAATATCTGCCAGTTTGGTGGGGATCACATATGCAACTTCAGAGTAAGTGGAAGTCCATCAACCTCAGGAAATGCAACCAGGGAACCCCATCAACGACCACACATCCTGGTGTCCTCACACTCAGCGTGGCACCTGCATTTCATCAGCAAATAATTTCCTCGTTGTAAGGTGGGGGTAGGGTCTTACCTCCATGAGGGAATGCCAGTGTGCGATGGGCTTCCGAGGATAAGACAGCATTTCACTCCAGTGGTCCCTGCCCAGCCTCTCGGCCTCGTTGCCTACTTGACACACGCCGATGATCTCATTGTGACCTACACTGTGAAAATGGTCCACAATAGTTTTTTTCTTAAAATTTTGGTGCTTGACAGCAATAGCTTCTCAATTAAAATGACCACAGAACTTGGGGAAGTGGTGTTTTAAACGTCTTAATTGAAATCTATATGTCCTGCCTACCCGCCAATAAAATTTGTGGTCCAATATTACACTCCAGCTTTCTTAACACTGACATGGGCTAGGTTGTTCTCAAGAAACAGTCCTGTGTTTGAAGAATTTCCTGATGGATGCTTAACACTCCACATCTGGTTCTGGAACAAGGTTGATTTTTCAAATCCATGTAATGAGAAGGGAGCCCTGTCAGGGGCATTTTTGTCATAGAGGTCGCTCCAATTCCCACAAGAGCCAACCAAGCAAGGGTGAGGAAAGAGCTCTTTGGCTGGCAGTCTTGGGTCTCCTCTGTCCCACAAAAGGGGCAGAGGTGGGGAGTCTCCTGGGTCTTTTGACTTTCAGTTCCATTAAAGAACACTGCTGTCCTTTCTTCTTTCCTCTCTCCTTTAGTGGCCAACATCACTTCTGTGACCAGACTTGATTTCCCAAGTGGAGTGAGATAGATAATTCCTTTAACCTTAAGGCAATTAGTCTTTCCAAAGCTTTCCCTGGATAGGTCCTCACATTAGGCCATTTTTTTTTAAGCTGCCGAGTTTTGTTATAAATCCTTTGCATATGATGGAGCTAAAGCCTGGGAATGATACATCCCATCTGTGAACTCTTTGGGATTCAAATACACTTTTTCTTTTTTCTTCCCACGAAAATATGTGGTTTTTCCTATATTTGTATGTGGGGAGTAATGGGGAGGTGAGAGAAGGGGTAGTGAGAAGGATATCTGAGCCTATGCTCATTAGACTCAAATGCATGTGGAAGCCCGAGGACTCTGCTGTGTTTTTTTCCAGGGCAGATTCATGAGTTTACTGAGAATTAAATTGAGGCAGAGCTCACATAATCAGATTTGTTGATGCAGGAAACTTGGCAATAGTTTGGAAAATGATGGCTTAGCTACCACAGTTGGTGGGCAATATCCCCTCACGGGGTCTGACATTATTGGTGCTGTGTGTTTGCTCAGAGATGGGACAAGGTCTACTGCTCAGCATGGGCTGTCACAGCCATGGGCAGCCAGGCTGGACAATGGTCATGCGTCACGCAGACATCTGCTGGAAAGAACGTTCAGGTCACTGAGGCTGCCTACTGACATTTCAGAGTTATGTGGGAAAATGTTTGGCTATAAATAATATTTGTAAGATTATATTAAGAATTATAGTTTTTTTATATATTCACGCCTAGACCACGTGGGAGGTTTCCAATTAAAAAGAGGCTTTGCATTTCAGTCTAATGACTGGTTTAACATGTATAATTCCCTGTTGGTATTTCCTTTGCATATTAAAATAACGATTTTTCTAATCCATCGTTTAAATACACAATTGGCTACAATGAAGCTATAAATATCTCTGCAGTGCTGTATTAATTAAAAAGTTGAGCGCCTTATACATTTTAATGTATGCTGTCACCCACACCAGCTCCAGCATTTTCAAGAGAACATTTTTCTGTTTGCTTTCAGACTTAAGTAGATGGAAATGATCTTTATTAAATATGTTGTGAGAAGGAAAAATAAAGATTCAAGTTATGCATTTAGGAGGGCTGATAGTCTGACTAAAGTAATCATGGTGCTATTTGCAGTGGAATTGTTCCCCTGAAGAGCAGATAGCATTGCCTCCCAGCAGATAAGGCACGTGAGGCCACTATTCTCTAAACCAGGATTCCAGAAGGTATGCGGAGAGGGAAGAAGTGGTGATGGAAGACAGCAAGGGGAAACAAATCAGAAAAGGAAGCATGGGGGAAAGAACAGGAAAGCTGAGAGGCAGCAGGGTAGCCTGGCTTTATGGCCTGGTTTGGAACATGGTGACCACTTGACCATCTGCTGTCCACAAGCTGCTGGTTCACTCACTGCCTATGGGACACCAGTCAAGAATCTACAGCCATTTCCACTAGTCCTCCCTGCCCAGGCACAGGAGCCTCACACTGAGAATGAACTCCAAGTATCTCACCGGTCATAGTCCATGACTGCTATGGACAAGTGGATTTGGTCAATATTCTCAGGAGGGACATCAAAGACTATGGCTTCGTTGTAAACTGGATTCAGTGTGTTCCTTTTTGTGGATGTTTTCCGCTTCTTTAACCGTCTGCCATCACACATCAGTGAGACCTTCACATACGGATCTGTTTAGATAATAAGAACCAGGGTGATTGTGAGGCTAAGTGGGGATTTAGGAAGCAATGATGTCACTATGGGCATTCATGGACTGTGGGATGCAGGACACCTGTACTTGCCTTGGGGCTGGAATTCAAGGATTTCAACTAAAAGGATATTCAGGAAATAACTGGGGTTGGGATAATTAAGTTGTTCATTCAAGAAAAGTCCAGGACACTGTCTCCTCAGAAATGCATGATGCTTAAAAATAGTGTGAAAACATCTGTTGCCATATTAGAAAACATTGCTGCTAGAATTAAAGATTTGCCTTACTATGATAGCAGGAAAGTGGAAAGACATTTATTTCCAAGGCATGTGAAACCTTGCCTGAGTCACTTCAGGGAATCTTCCTAAAGATCAGCTCTTTAGGAGCCCACCACCATGGCATATCATATTAAGCCTCAGTCTGCCATGCTGGCATCCCCTATGGACATCTATTGAAGTCCTGGCTGTTCCACTTCCCATCCAGCTCCCTGTTTATTGCCTGGGAAAGCAGCAGAGGATGGGAGACCTGGAAGAAGCTCCTGGATCCTGGCTTCAGGCTTCAGGACCCAGATCCAACTCAACTCTGGCCATTGCAGCCAGTTGGGAAGTGCACCAGCAGATGGAATCTCTGTCTCTCCTTTCCTTGCTCTCTAAATTCTGCCTTTCAAATGAAAATAAATAAATCTTTAGAAAAAAAAAAGATAACCAGCCCTTTAAGCAAATAAAGTTCTACATTTCTAGAATGTCTAAATTCCTAGGGAAAATGTCTGGATGGGGTAGATTTCTCGAAGTACAACAACCTCGAGCCCCCAGACTAGCCTGCAGTTGGGTTGCAAAGGGAGAAGTGGTACTGCACATCAAGGAGAGAAAGGACACAGGCTGGCCGAAATGTTGACACAGTGATGACTGACGGACTGCGCTCTCCTGGGCCCCAGAACCTCACCAGGCTTCTCTCATGGCATGGATTTCTTTATTTCCAAGACCATGCATTGCCCTGACTACTATACAGTTAAGAAGGCACTTAGTGGGCTGCGGATGGGAAGGACTGGCAGGGCTGAGAGGAAGGACATAGACCTTTTTTTCTGCTTAGAAAAACACTGGAGCCTGGGATACAGATTATACTGTCTGTGATGCTGTTTGGTTTCAGTGGCTGTCAGTCACTGTGTCCTGGGTGTTTTCGGGCCACATTTGAGGAGCTTGTACAGAGGCTGTTTGTGAATTTGTATGACAGAAACTGCCTATTATGGTATTTAGGGGCTTCAGTTGGCATTCAAATGTGCATGTTAAATTCACTGGAAAACCCAAACTGTATTAGGCGACAGAGTTGTCTTCAATCTTCCATGAGCCCGGATGGCTGTATCTGAAGAAAGAACCAATTAGATATGCCATATCAGCAGGTACAAACTGTTGGGGTCATTCACTATTATGAAGACCCAAAAGAGAATAATAAAAAACTAACAGTATGGAGCATTTAAAAAATATCAGAACCTGTTACTGTGCTTTTACAAATGCTAGTGCACCTATTCTTACAACAACCCAGTAAGTCAGATATTATTACTACCTTCATTTTATACAGATAGAATCTGGAGTCCAGAGAATCAGAATGACTTGCCAAAAGTCCCGCAGCTATTACATGGATTAAATCAAGGCAGTTGTATCCCAGAGCCAATTACTATGTTAAAAACCCGTTAGGGTACAACATTTGCACTGGATAGTGAAGGCTGGATACACACACACACACACACACACACACACACATATATATACTTTTTAATTTTTATTTTCCATGATATATATATATATGTATATATACACTTTTTAATTTTTATTTTTCATGATACAGTTCCATAGATTTAGGATTTTCTCTTCCCGCCCTTTCAATTCCCCAATACCTGTTTTCCCCTATATTATTACAATAATATAATCCTTCAATTACAGTCACAAGTCCACCATTCTGCTATTTAAGTGTATCATGACACTGAAGGCATAGAAAATGGTAGGAAGTCCAGAAGAAGGCTGGATTTGAGACTGTCCTACCTGACGCTCCGGTGATGTCCATTGCCTTTAAATTCCGTGCTTTTATAATGGTGATGGTCAGCCTGCCAGCAGTGGGAAGGTAGCAAAGGGAGAACATCAGTTCTCCAAGATCCACATTGTCCTGTGGAGAAATCACAGACAGGATTAGAAAGGGTCTTAGACCCAAGGGCGGGAGGCTAAGCTGTACCAACAAGGGCCACCCCCCAAGTCTGGCTCTGCTAAAGAACTCCTGGTATCTCCTCCCACAGCAGTCATGTAGAGAATATACTTATCATTCCAAGGGAGCTGCTTCCTCTTGCTAAAGAAGCACACATAGCCCTTCTGCAAGTGTCAAAATCCAAAGGCCTCCTGAGCCTTTGTCACTGTCATAGCAGCCTCACAAGGCCTCACATAGTCCCTGCAGCCTGGAACATGGGCCTGAGATAAGCCGCCTTTCACAGCCTTTGCAGCTCCCCACGTGGGTCTACTCACATTCTCCCACCACCCTAGAGGGGTCCCCAGGACTAAGCTATTGTGCAAAGGTGCCTTGCGGTTATGCTCAGTGGTATACCCCATGGCCCCAGGTACCATTATGCCCTGAATCAAGCAGGTACCCAAAGTGTCCTATGCACTTTTCTATCTTGTGCCCTCACCTCAAGTTAGCCCCAGCAGTTCCAGCAACTCCTGAGCACCCCAGAGCACTACACATAGAATCCATACAGACAAGTACATGGCTTCCCATGACTCTGGAAGCATCTGGAACCTCCCATAGCTCCTGCCAGGAACACTGCCAGATCCGTAGGACAAACTCTGTCTCCCCAAACACCAGCAGCAATAAACACATGCAGACACAGGCTTCAAGAAGGCAGACAAGAGGAGAGGTACAGAACCTGGCGTCCCTGCTCTCTGCCCCGGGAGCCCCACCTGGTGCATCTCTCTCCTTCTTGGATTCCCTGAGAAGCCAGCACTGCCCTCTGTGGGAGAAGGTATCTCCCTGGGCACTGTGCAGCCACTGGAATAGGTCAGATGACACAGTTTCTCTCTTTCAATTTAGCCCAGGGAGAATGTTACCAGAAAGAAGAGGAAGAAAAAAGAGCCAGTTGATTTAATTTCAATTTCTGAGGGCTACCTGAGGTTAGCGAGTTGTAGCCAGGGTCCAATTAATACAGTGTCATCCTGATAATGCTCTGGGGAGTCAGATTCCCACCCTCTACATTCACAGCCTCCTGTACCCTCTCCAGCTCTCCAAGGATGCTTCTATTTTTAGATGCACAGAGTCGGCTCAGGAAGGTCACCTCGGCCAACCTCCCTCCTTTCATTGCTTTCATGAGAGGACCAGAGGAAGGGTTCTATTTGCTCACTAAGGCAGATGGATTGTGCTGTGTCTTTGTGCATTGCTTGCCACCTGTAAATAAATAACTTCATCTTACAGGCCAGGCTTTCCTTGTTGCTGGGGCCCTGAGTTTCAAGTGGCTGTGCCCTTCCCTCTGGGGTAGGGGGATCAGGGGTAGGAGAAGCTGACTGATGGGAGTGGAGGTCTCTCTCTCTCTCTCTCTCACACACACACACACACACACACACACACAGAGCAGAAGCAGGTTTGGGATTGCTCTGTGTTCATATCTCTAGACGGAAGCAGCAGCTGCTGTCACTGAGCAGGGAGGATCTGATCCCAGTTGGTGCTAGTGGCAAAGGGAAAGGAGAGAAGCAACAGCTGGCTCACAGCCCATTCATTTGCTTCCTCCTCCCTCCCTTGCTTGCTGACTTCTGTTCTTCCCCTAGTTGGCTTCTCACTGGACCTCACACTTTCCTTTCACCTCATCCTCCCACAACATCTTGGTTGAACAAACTTATTAGAGAAGGAACCCAAATCATGCCCACAAAACCTCCTAATCAATTCTTTCAATGAGTATTTTCTGAGGGCTACACCCTGCCTGTGTTTACTGAGGTTGGGATGTGGAATCCTGTGCTGGGCAGTTGCTGTCCTCAAGGCTGATGCACATAATTAAATGAAACCTGTCAGAGTACTCATGTGCTAACTACATTGATTTTCTTCTCCTGGTTCACAAACATTTATATTAATATAGCTCTTTACTCATGAGTTGAAACAAAATCAAACCTTGGACTTAGCAATGTATTCAGAATGTGAACTGAGTCTGTACCTACACTTTCAAAATTAGCAAAGCAAAGAAATAGTTCCCAAAGAGAAAAACACTTGGTTTTATTTTCAGGTCCTTTAAAAACAAATCTTTTAAAAAATATTTTCTGTATATAAAAGTAAAATGATAATAAAACTCTATTATGGAAATTTTTAGGTCCAACAGTAAAATACTCCCTTTACTTGTATACATAGCCATTTGTGGCATTCTTTTATTCTCAGTAGCACAATGAGCAATTGCCCAGACCTTTTCTTTTATTCATTCATTCATTTACCCATCCATTTACTCATTCATTCATGCATTCCTCTAACGTTTGCTGTGACTGTTGGAGTTGAACATTGTTTTTTTCCTGAGGCTGGGAGCTGAATCTGCAGTGAACAAGACACCATCCGCTGAGGGGGATGGGCTTATTAGGTTATGCAACAGGAATTCATTGGCATGGATGTGAACACTGCTTTCCCCTATCAGCTGATGCTAACTTAGGATCAAGAATCTGTACGTCTTGGAGCTTGTAAATATTCCCTTAAACCAGCTGTTCCCAACCAGGAGCTCCCTCAGGGGGCATCTGATGGTATCTGGATACATTTTTGATTGTTACAAATAGGCAGAGAGGGTGTGCAACTGATATCTAATGGGGAGAGACCTGAGATGTTGCAAAACATCATACAATTCAAAGGGGGCAGCAGGGAGTGCTCACTACAAATGATTATCTGATCCAAAATGTCAACAGGTGCCAAAGCAGAGAAAGTCTGCTTAGGTAAAAGTGTTCAGATTCTTAGTCAATGTTTTTCTAGATGAAGACAAAAGTAAAATACAAACAGGTGGTGGTATACTTGGTTTCTCTTTCAGCTTGACAGGAATTAGACAGGCAGAAGAGTCACTACAGGATGAGTGCCCTGGAGGGTACAAGAGGAAGGAAAATGCCACACAAAGACATGCTTCGTTTCCTTCTGCTTTGTATGGCTGACTTCAGCATTGTTGGCAAGATGTACTGGGAATTTATAGCAAACGTGTGAATTTTCTACCTGTAAACTCTGCAGTCTGCCTGCAGTGGTCTGCAACAGCTACAGCCTCTTGTTTAACCAGTACACTTTCACATTCTTCTTTTTTGTGTTATCTGGTAAACTCCTTACCAAACTCATGTGGTTCTGGAAAAGCTGCTGCAGGAATTCGGGCTGGAAATAAACCATTCATGGCCCTATCAGTGTTGTCACAGATGGGTAAGAAATCCAAGCAGGAGGCTGAGAGTACCCCATGAGATAGAAAATTCGATTGAAATTTTCATTTTACAAGAGTTATCCCCTGGGAAGATGTAAGGCAAAAATTGTTGCAAGGTTCCACAAATGTATGTAGTACAAGTGGCATGATCACTACAAAGTTAGCTTAGGCAAACTAAAGATGTATGCTATAAATTTAAAATAAATAGATAAAATCATACAACAAAGAGCAATAGCAAGTAAGACAAGATAGGAGATAAACTGAGTGCTGAAAAATATCCACTTAATCCAAAGAACACAGGCAAATACCAAAAACAGAACAAGATTAAGAGAGGTAAATCTGATGGAAATCGAAAGCAAATACTTGTAGGCAGACGACACACTTAAGCTATACTGTTCCAAGAGATTAAATTACATAAATATTCAAATAATGGCAAAGTTATCCGATTCAATAAATAGCAATACTCAGGAATATGCTGTTCACAAGAAATTTACCAAAAATGTAGATATAAATATATTAAAACAAAAAAAGCCACTAATAGAAATCTGGAGTGGCTTTATTAGTATCAAACAAAGCATAATACAAAGACAGGCAATTCATCCAGAGTACATACAACTTGTAAATGTTTATGTATCTGATTCCTGATATCATACTCTCCAAATGTATGAAACAAAACCTGTAAGGACACACAGACAAGTTTGCATAAGATATGGAATCAATCTCGTATCCATGATGGATGAATGGATAAAGAAAATGTTGCGCTTATACTCAATGCAATGCTATTCAGTCATAATCAAGTATGGAATCCTGACATATGCAGTGAAATGGAATGAACTGGTAATCATTATATTAAGTGAAAGAAGCCACACACAGAAAGACAAATCCTTCATATTGTCTCATATTTTTAAACTCATTATTAAGTTAGGATAGTGATTATTAGAGGCTGGGAAGGGTGTTGGGAGTACGAAGAGTTAGATAAAGGGTGCTAAAACGCAGTGAGACAGAAGTCATAGATTCTAGTGTTTCACAGCCCAATTCACATTATGTCATAAACTGTACAAACACTGGATAAAAGAGCTGACAGTCTCTAACCATGTAGGAAGGGTGGAGAAGCAGAGATGCTGGTTGCCTGGTTTGGTCTGCTTACATTGTTTGCTTATTTAAAATAATGTTCTGTGCCCTATCAAAATGTAAAGAAACATATATCCGTAACTAATCCTAGCCAAAGATTTGAATATTTGAGCAAAACTAAATGAACTTGGTCTAATAGTATTTTTAAAATACTCTACCCAACAACAGAATACATATTCTGTTCAAAGACACTCTGAACACTAAACAAGATAGATTGTATCTGGATCATTAACCAAGTTTCATTTAGATATAAGAATATTTAAGTAATACAAAATGCATTTTCTTACCATAATGAAAATGAATTACAAATAAATAGCAGATATTTAGAAACTTTCCCAATATCTGGAAATGAGTAACATACATCTAAATAATCCATCAAAGAAACCTAAAGAAAAAATAGAAAGCATTTTTAAAAGCAAAAATGAAAACATAACATATTAAAATTTGTGGGATGAAGCTAGAACAATACTTACAGGGAAATCTATACCACTAAAATGTTTAGATTGAGAAGAAACTATCAAACCAAAGACCTTGGTTTCTGCTCTCTGAAACCAGAAATATAACAACAAATTTAATCTAAAGGAAGATATTAGATAAAATAAAGGCGAAATTTCGAAATGCTAGAATAATCACT